AAGACATTAGGTGTAATAAAAAACAAAACTTCAGACGAAATGATACAAAATATACATTATACATTATATAAAATGCTGAAAAAAATTCAAATGTATCAATCGTAGTGAACTTTTTGGTTTTATTTACTTTTAACACCAAATTTTTCAATATTTACATTCTATATTATGCTGCGGCTATTGGATGTTGAATTGATATACACAAGTATATTATTTAGGTAGGATACTTTATAATTCATACACGTTTTAACTTTTAAAGTTTATAGAAAAGGTCGATAAACAATGGTGTCCGAGATTGCGAGTTCCCCATTATATTAGATCAGTTAAATTTTGATTGCTCTTATAAATAATAAACTTCTATTCTATAAAGTGTATAGCGTACGGTCAATATCCGACGTCTATTTTTTATTTATCGCCTATTTAGCTGTATATATATAATATAAATATTTAATTTTTCTTTTTCCAAAAATCTATCCTCCATACTGTTCAAAGTCTTCAAACATTTCGTTATTATTATTTATCAGCAAATAATATCACTTTTCTAAAATGCTACCTAATTTTTGTTTAAACTTTAGAATTTGAACTAATTAGACTGCAGTGGCGTACATACGGGGGGTTCAGGTTCATACACMCCCAGGRCCAAAMAAAAAAAATTGATATTATTGATTAATTTTTTATTATTAATCATCCGTGTATACACAAACATAYGTCATAATAAYATATAACGGCAATAACGAAAAAAGATTTCATAACGAAATTATGGGTAAAATCAATCAAAATAGACATTAAATGTCATCAAATTTTGATCGTACACAGTCAGTTAGTTGCGTGCGGACAAAAATACATATTAATATTGTCCTTATCTCGGCCGACTCGATCGGACAACGGTGAAAAAACCGATTTCGTTATAATCGTTGAATTTCGTGTGAACAATAATATGGTGAAATGGATTCTATTTTTATAGCACTATCGTAAATTRTCATGTTAAACATTTTCGTTAAATAATATTATGAATTTTTCGTTCATTCTGTTATATTCTGCCGTTGGAGAAGTTTATGTGAAAAACTAATAACTATTCATTGAACTCCATAAACCATAGGTAAGAATTTAGATAAGATTAGTTAGAGTTTATAACATTAAAATTGTTTACTAACAAAACATTAAACATTAAACATTAAACATTTAAAATATTAAAATGAATTATAAACACGCAAGACTGGGCGAGTTAATGATTTTTTTTTTAAACTCTGTTAAGTTAATATGCATACACATATAGTATATATTGTATTTTTAAGTACAGAAGTTTTAGATTTTAGTATTGGTATTTATTTTTTCCCGAAATGACGACGTTGTGCATCGTCGATCGTCGATCGTCGATAACAATAATATTATAGCATAATATAGGCAATAATGTTTTATTGTCATTATCATTCGATATATTTTAGGGTTTGAAGGTAAAATAAATCGTAATCATGGCTGAAAAAAAAAATCGAAAATTCAATCTTTTTTTCAAAACTACCCTCAATAATAGATTCATTGAATCCAACTCAAACAGTTATAAGTTCCTCTAGTTCATCATTAACTGTATTATCTGCATCTGATACACCTATCACTCAGTACTCATCTTCGACTACAGATAGACAGTTTTAAAGAGAAGGTTTTAGTGTTAATAATTTTTTTAACCCCTCCCAGAGCAAGGTTATGTTAGTGCGAGAATGTACACCACTGAATTAGAGTATATAATAACTGCATAGATGTTTAATGAAAAAATTATACTTTTTTCTTTGAAATATTTACCATTTATTAGTTACTTAATATTGAGCATTTAAAATTATAAAATAACGTGAATTAAATTTTTATTTAAGCTTTTGAGTTAATCTTCTTTTATGGGTGTAAGACTTAAGTGTGTAACTAAAATTTAGTGATAACAGAGAGTTCTGTGAAGTCAATTTAAATGAGCCATTATTATAGAGTCAAAGGGTCGGGGTTCAACCTCAAAATTAAAAAAATAATCCTCAGAAATTAAATGTAAATGACAAATTAAGTACTTTTATTATGACGTTATTATGCAGTACCTTAGGATATTTTTTAGATTATGTTTTATATGCCTGTATATCATACATTTATTTGATAATTATTTTCTTTATTATATGTTTATTAGGTTTATTATATA